AGAGCGGGACCCAGTGGCCAGAGACTCGGCGACATTTTGGCGGTTACGCTGGGCGGTGGGTGCAGGGAGGGGCGACGCGGAGGGTGGGGGAGGGAATGGCTGGGGCATGGCGTGGTCAACCTTGCTTCCCCAGACCGACTCGGGAGGGCCATGGCTATGGTGGTCATGTTCCTGCTGCTGGCGTTGAGCAGAAGCAGCCTTGTGAACTTGCTGAGAAAGAGTAAGAGGCTCAGAACCGGTAACAGAGTCGGTCAGCTGTTGGGCTGCCTCCTCCATCTCGGCCGCAACCTCTGCCTCAAATTGCTGAGACACAGCGGCTGGGTGGGTGGGCAGACCTTCAGCGGTGCGCATGCCCATCTCGCCTTCCTGGGCCCGAAGAGCATGGAACTGGCGAAGACGCTCCTCGCGAGCGTGCTGATCAAAGGGATCATCTTCATGAGCCTTATCAAAGTCTTCCTGCTCTTGCTGAAGCTGAGCACGATCCTGAAGCATCTGGGTAACCTGCTGAGATTGCAAGAAGTTGTCAGGCTGGCGACCAGAGAACGAACCAGCACTGCCAAAGGCAAATGGATCCTGGCGGCCGACATTCAGGCGATCAAGTAGAGCGGGGAGTTGATCCTGGCTGCCGAAATCCGTTCCCAGCATTCCAGGCCCCACGTTCAAACCGCCCTGTCTCGGTGCAACACCATCAAAGAATCCAGGTTGCGACTGCTGTTGCATGGGAGCCTGAATCGGGGATGGCTGGTAGCCAACGGGTGAAGTGATGCTTGAGAAGCTAGGCTGGCTTTGAAGGCTGTGTGCGCTAGACTGGTGCTGCAGCGGAGGGTTCATGGAGGAGGAGGGGGCACCAGGAGGAGCCATCTGCTTCATGATGGCCTGCTGCTGAGCCAAGTGCTCCTTCTGCCGAGCCATCAGGTACTGCTCTTCCTGCTTGCGACGTTCGAGCGCATTTTGCTGCTCGGCTGTCAAGGTAGTGCCGAAGCTTGGGAAACTACCCGGGAAGGGAGGCTGGGCAGATCCAGCGGTTGTGTTAGTCCACTGGGCAACAGTCGGTTCTGGGCCATGAGGAAGTCCAATCTGGGGCACAAGGAATGGCTCGCGTGAGTTCCCAATGCGTCTCACTAGCTGAGCTAATGGCTCAAATTCGGTATCCTCAAGCTTCTTGATTTGCAGGTCGGGGCTGAAGAAGCCCGCCTTGAACCAATCATGCATCTCAAGCCCAGTCCACGGGCCCTGGATGTTGCCTTGGGGATCCCGGTAGATCCAACGCATCCTATCAGGCATAACCATGGTACGCTGCTGGGAAGCAGGGATGCCTGCGCCAGGGGTTTGACTAGAAGGAATATCATGACCAGCCAGGTTAGGAATAGAGCCAACGGCCGAGACGGGTGTTTGCGAAGCAGGCGTTGAGCCAGGGTGGCTTGCCTGACCCGCCTTGTCGCCTTGCGAGGGGTCAAGTCCATCCAGGCCGACAGAGTCGGGCCTTCCTTGCTCGTCCTGCATGGAAGAGAAGAGGGCACCGAGTTTGCTTGATCGGCCAATGCTTCCTGTGCCAGTCATACCGGCGTGGGGGCTAAAGAGACCACCTCCACCGAGGGTTGACAAGCTAGGAGACTGAAGATCGCCCATAGAGCCAAAGATGGGGTCAGCGAAGCCACCGCCAAATGCAGAGCGCTCACGAGTGGGCGTGCCGACGGCAGCACCAGATGACCAAGTCGAGGCTCCACCCAGGGAAGACAGGCCACCGAGACCACCCAGACCAGAGAAAGTGCGGTTCGCATTGACACTGGAGTTCTGGCTGCGGTCCACGGTGGGAAGATCGATTCCAGAGCCAACCCGTCTCATCGAACCGAAGGGGTTGGAGGGATCCCGAAGTCCGCTGACTCCTGGGTGCTGGGGCTGCTGGATATCCGATCCGTCAGTGTCGACATCTTCGGGTTCCACACGTTCGCCATGACGGTCACCATGCGGGCTCTGGTAAGGATTGGTGTTGGTTGGGCTGGTTGGCTCGTGTCCCTGGAGCAGGCTGGGAGTTGGGTTCCGCGAGTTCTCCTGGCTTTGCATCAACTCCCGGAATCCAGGAATGCTCGAGGTCATTCCGAATGCGCCAAACCCGAGATCAGATTGAGCGGGACCTTCAACATCCTGAGACCCACCAAGAGCGGCGCTGCCACTGCGAGGCTCGTCGAACGGATTAGTTTCGCTTCGGTTGACACGAGTCTTGACGGAATCCCCCCAGGGCGACTGTGAACGCCCATCGCTGTCGTTTTCAGCAAGACGTTCAAGGTTGCCCATGGGCCTTTCCTTGGCGGAGCCGGCCATATCTTCGGAGCTATCCTTAGACAACAAACCCTTGAATCTGCTTTCTCCGCGAAGACTTCCGTATCCCGGTTTCTTTTCAGTCGTGGGAGTGCCGGCGGCGGAACCAGAACCAAGAGAGAAAGCTCCAAAGGCACCCATCGGAGAGAAATTGGCATTATGCGAGGCCGAACCCCAGGGGGAGTTCGGTCCACTAACGCCCGTATTGATAGGATTGGTGGAGCTGCGCTTCAGGGTGCCAAAGGGAGAAGCAGGATCCTCCCTGCTATCCTTGGCCTTCTCATCCACCTTGGGGTTGGGTTCTCGGAAATCAGTTTTGCGACGCAACAGGGCCGGCGGAGGGGTAGAGGTATTGGCCTCATCGCGGAAAAATCGGGAGTTGGAACCGGTAGGAGACATGGGGTTGCCAATCGATTCTCCCGTTTCCCGGCGTCGGGGACCCGGGCGACCGGCGGTTGGGGAGGAGGTGGTGTAGTTATTGATATGGCCCTGAGGATAGGAGATCGACGACTTGCGGCCTCCAGTTCCCGGGATGACATTTTCCTTCGCGGCGTTTGTGGGGGGTGGCTTCAGAGGGGAATTGACTGAAGCGGCGAACATCTATTAAGCTTTTTAGTAAAAGCACTCACCCAGACCTGAAAGCACGACACAGCACGAACCTCTCTCTCGTCCTCCGTCATACCAGTGATTCCCAGCGGCTCCACCTGGCCACCATGGTCCCAGCAAACCTCAGGCCCCGCGGAGTTATTCTTGTGGTCATCCCGCTTCCCCCACGCTCCATTCGCAGGAGCTGACACAGTGTGGGGATCCCAGTCGGCCACGAAGTATTCCTCCACGTTCTTACTCAAGGCTCCCTCCTCCCGCTGCGATTTATACAGCTCTAGAAGTTGGTCCTTGGAGTACCGGGCATCCCCATTCCGTGCAATGCTAGAAGTATTTGAGCTCAGGTGTGGGGGGATATACGCGCCGCCGGCCGTAGTTGTCGAGGCAGATGCAGGCTGGCTACTATCCCGGTGTTGAGAGGGGTTAGTAGCAACAGAAGGACGGCGGAAGGTCTGCGTAGCTCCATTCATGCGGTTTCGAGACCTAGTTGCATCGAAGGTTAGCATCGGATATCTGGAGCTCAAAACATTGACGGTCACAGCAGAAAGCAACGATAGTGGACCGAGTCTGTTGAGCAACAGCTAATGGAGGGGTTTCAAGAAGGTGAAACAGTGTGTGCATACCATTCTCCGCTAGTCGAACCATCCCCCCTCCGGCTGGGGTCCTGGGTGTTGCCGGCAGCGGCCGAGGCGAAACTCGATGGAAGTGGTGTAGGCATTGTGGTAAAGAGGCTTGTATGGTCGGATGTTGATCCCCCACGTAAAAACCGATTCTGAGATAGTTATCGCGAAACCTGTGGCGGGCTTGCAAGAGAATGTGTGATGCGAACGGATAGGTCGCAGGACACGAGATTGGAAAATTGGGTTGAGTTGGAGGATGACAGCTAGGAGCTAGTCAATCGAAGAAGTGGAGAGCTGTAAGAGAGGTAATGCAGATATGCGAGCGCCAGACGAACAAGGTCGAGAAAGAGAGAGATCGAGATTCGATTTCGCTTGGGAAGTTTCCTAGAGCAAAAATGATTAAGCGGTGGCCGTGGCAATAACACGTGCCTTGTGGTAAATACACGGTATGGGATTGTTAGTGGTCGCGTGATTTGCCACCTAAAAGGGTGAATATAACGTATCTTTTGGAATCACAATTACATACCGCCAAGAGCAGGTATCCGATACACGCACAACACTGTGTCTTCATACTCTGCCCAATGTACCTTATACCTTGTTTACACTATTCTGCCCAATCCTGCGTAGCAAAGAAAATAGACATCGTATAAAAAGATGCAAATGGAGTCTCCAAATGATCTTAGCAAATTTTTGAGCCTGATTTTCACTTTTTCCCTAACGCGAAACACTATAGATAGCAAATACGTATGCAGTTAGGTGGCTTGACGCAAGCAGAGAGATGTGGAAACAACAGGATAGACGTGTATTCCCCACAACAGCCACGCTCCTCTTTTGATTGGAAGTTCATCTGCTTTCAAGCAATTGACAAGTTAGGGATTGGATTGGGCTTTGCCTAAGAATACAAAGGAGAGCATCTAGACGTTCCACCAAGTGCAATAGAGGGGGCTGAAATGCATCTATCCCTTTTTGCCCAACCTCTACAATCCTGGGCAAACATCTAAAAAAGATGGATTCAACGGTCTCAAAATCTTTATGGGCAGGAATCCGGTTGAGTTGAGAATCCCATTATCTGCTGTGCCTGTCAATAGGGCTGGATCATTGTGTCACCCTTTGACATCTACTCCATCTTGTTTGCCCTTTGATCTACTTCATTATACAGCTACAATGCTTTCTGAGATTTGCTCGCTCTAAGAGTAACACAGAGACGACACAAAACGACACAATGAATGTCTTAGCCCAAATCGATATGACGGGATTAGTCTTAGAGCTTCACGGATGTTATCGAGACTCTATAAAAGTGACATCCCCTTCTCCGGCAATTCCCTCTTTACAGTTCTTTCGCTTCAAGACAATCCAGTCCAGTTTGTCTGAACTATAACCTTTCTTGCATAACAAAGGTCATTTTCTCTCTATCGTGGCTTCCGATATCCAAGCGCTCCTCGTCTTTGATCCAAGAGCATGAGGCGGTCCAGAGTCACCGGCCGACCTAAGCCCAAAGATACACAATTCGGCTGGTACTTCGCTGGCGAGCCAATGGAGAAGAGACACTCTCGAAGCGGCCGAATCAGGCTAGTTCGTTATGGACCTGAGAGGAAAATATGTGCCCACAGTCGATGCCCGTCGCCATCTCCCATTCTAGAAAATGCACTTTGCACCTGCAGCAATAGATGCGAGGTTCACCCCCACGGGACACGCTCCCCATCCCCCGGCAACACCGACTCCTCTCCCTATGAGGCCATACGATGCTGCGGAAGATGTCACATTATCAGACGCGAGCGCGAGTCCTCTCCGCAAGTGGAGAAAATAATCTGCACCTGCAACCATCGGTGTGAATGTCACTCGCCCGAAACACGCACCGTCACGCCCAGCAGCAGTGAATATTCAAGCTCTGAAACAGCCACACGACGCCATAATAGCCGTCACACAACAAGACGCGAGCGTCGTTCCAACGACACACGTCCCACGACGCCGAACAGCAGTGATTTTTCAGACTATGATCCGCCCAGAAGACGCCGCACCGGTCACCGCACGACAAAGCGCGAACCAGAGCATCATCCGCAGGTTGAGGTGCATCAATTTGAGGTCCACGCACCCTCTCCTGACACCCCTGCCACGCCAGGCCAGAGGTACAAGTCCACACGTGCGTCGATCGCGACAGCACCACTCCCCAGCCCGGTAGTCCACCGCCACCACTGCCGCAAGGCGGCTTATTGCGAAAGACACCCGGAGGGCTGCCGAGCTTCAATTTATGCGCTTTCACCGGTGCCGAGACCGACGTCAACCCCGACGCGCTCTCCCCGGTCGAGTGAAAAGACCCGTCGCGACTCGCGGGAAAAATCAGACCCGAGATGCACTTGCAGGAGGTCTGCTTCTCCAAAGCAGATGTTTCCCCCGAAGCGAGTGCCTTCCCCCAAGCCTACACCTCCGAGGCCTGATGTCCAGCATTGCACCTGTTTCTACATGGATGGGTACCATGCCGACGACTCTGGATATTATGATGACAATGCTTCCGAGACCTCTATCCAGGCCATACCTGACCATGATAGGGATGTGGATGAGTCATTTTGTGTTTATCATCACCGTTGTCGTCCGAGATTTGAGCGTGGTCTTGGCTGGGTGTGCGGGAGGAAATGAACAAGGCTTTCTGAGTTTGATTTCAATAGAAGGACGATCCATGTTGTTTTCCCTTGGTGCTTTCTCTTTTTCTTTCTGGTCTGTGGCCTATTTGGGTTAGGATATCAATCCCATATATGGAGAGCTTTGGTGGAATGACTGTCGTTTCCGTGTCAGAGGTCCAGAAAATCTCGGTGTTCTTATTTTTCGTCTGTCTAACTTACGGTCTTAGATGTATTGGGACACTTGCTCAATTCTACCTTGATAAACAAATTGATATGGTATGACAAAAGCTTCAAATCTGACACTTCACTTAGCATCATTATAGTCTCTACTTCATGGTCGAGGTATAAGCCTGCCCGGTTACGTGGTCAATAGGTTCATCGAGCATGCATGACATGGGCTTTGCTGTCGCCTACAGAAAGATTGTTGTACTCATTTGGAATCATAAACGCCTTTGTCCAAAGTTGGAAGTAAGGTACAGCCCGAAAAATCACGTCCCCTCAAAACATTCCATGAACAAAGGCACAGAAAAACAGCTGTTGAGGTGCTCACTTCTCATCCTCGTTAGTGATGGCAGCCTTGGGCTCCTCGGAGTCGTCAACCTCTTCCATGGTGGTATCGCCAGTGGCAGTGGCGGGGCCAGAGGCAGGGGTAGAGGCAGAGGCAAAGGCAGAGGCAGAGGTTCCAGCGTCAGCGGCAGCGGAAGTCTTGTTGACTTCTTCCTTTTTCTCGAAGGCCACGAGTTTGGCCTTGAGTCGAGACCAGCGCATGCGAGCGGCACCAACATTGAGGTCGAGATCCTCAGCGAGAGCAGGGAGGCTGATCTAAAAGTAATATGAATTCAGTATGCTGGATCAGTCAATCAAGTGAGGATGGAGTGATATTGCCTCCTGGTTGGTCAGCTTAAAAACCTTCCAGATGAGCATGGTTTCTTCATCTTTGAAGTTACAGTTGGTAGCCTGGGACTTGCCAACGGCAGAGCGAGACTTGGTCTCGGGCTTTTTCGGAGCCATGGTTGGTGAGAGGTTGCAAGTTGAAGGAGAAAGTTATTAGAGAAGTTGATGTTTTGGTTTGATCAGAGTAGTTAACGGGGTGAAAGTGAGAAGAGGAAGAAGAAAGAAGAGAGGAAAGGGCTCGAGATGAATATGGGTGTTCTTATAGGCGTAGCTGAGTCGTCGCTTATGTCGTCGTTGATTTTGTCGCTGAGTCGTGGTTGATACGCTCCCATAGGTACCAGCCTCCGGTCCCATTTCCAGCTCTGATATTGCACCTACTATAAATCTATACCTGTGGGTTGCCAGGCCAAATGGTACAAGCTAATCTATAATCTAGTATCTTACAATCTGATGTCCCTATCCACCCAATAAACAACGATATATTGTCAAATAGGATCATGCACAGTGGTGTTTGATGTGTCTACTATGCATTTGTTTGCCTTGCATACCAGGCCTACCTTATCCCAGCTCGTTTACATGGTTCGAATACCATTCTTTCTGGCCTTAGAAAAGGCTAGACACAGAAGTTACTGGAGGACCTACTGAATGTGCGTGGTCTTTTCGTGATTATGATCAATTGTTCTTGATATTTCGTTGCCAGCCGCATCTTGTGCCCGGTACCTAATAGAATAAAGTAAAGCTTTCTGCTCTCGTTGTGATACTTGGTTCTAGTAATGCATCACGCGGATGAGATGATAATATATTGATCTTAGAGCCGTGGTGATTTGGCTGTTCAAGGCTACAATATATATCCTCTGAAAGTACAGAACTTGCAACAGATAGTCGATTCCAACTTCTATCAATCAACACTCCCGATCTGAATCTCATTGTTTTTGTCATTACTTGTCCCAGTTCGAGCTTTGCATCTGAAATATATCAGGCTATATACTAGTTCCCAATTTCGATATTCAACATGATGTCTCGGACATTCGGCCCCAAACGCGGGCGCAATTCGACCTCGGGGAGCAACCTCGGCTATCGATTAGAATATCGATAAGCATTTAAGCATCCCCGCACGAGCCTGACTTTCAAGGTCAATTTGTTTTGATATCTTCATCTAACATATCCAAAATGTCTAAAGCAATTTACATATCCCCAATTGACGGCAAACCTGGCAAGCCAGGTCAAGTCTACTACCCGCTCTCCCTACGCACTGTGCCCAAGCCTTCCCCGCAAGGGGGTGAACTACTGGTAAAACTGACCGCCGCCGCGCTCAACCACCGCGACCTCTTCCTCCGCCAACACCTCTACCCCGGTGTGACCTTTGATGTACCCCTGCTCGCAGACGGAGTCGGTACGGTTGTCGGTGCTGGCCCGAACGTCCCCAGCCCAGAAAAATGGCAAGGCAAGCGAGTGATCTTGAATCCCGGTGCTGGCTGGAAGGATTCGCCCGATGGACCGGAGGATCCTGCTGGATACCGAATTATGGGAGGTACCAAGGTGCTGGATAAGGGCACATTGCAGGAATATATTACTATCGAGTACTCGGAGGTCGAGGAGGCCCCTGAGCATCTCTCTGATGCCGAGGCTGCAGCTCTGCCCCTGACGGGCTTGACGGGGTGGAGAGCTCTGATTACCAAGGCTGGTGAGAGAAACTCTGGAGATGGTGCTGCTGTCTTGGTGACTGGAATTGGTGGTGGTGTGGCTCTGATGGTGCTGCGGTTTGCTGTTGCCAGAGGTGCGCATGTCTTTGTGACAAGCTCGAGCCAGGAGAAGATTCAGAAGGCCGTTGAGCTAGGTGCGACCGGTGGTGTTAGCTACAAGGAAGATGGATGGGAAAAGAAGCTGTTGGGTATGCTTCCAGCTGGGAAGAGGAACTTCGATGCCATCATTGATGGTGCAGGTGGTGATTCTATTGAGAAATCTGTCAAGTTGCTCAAGGTGAGTGCTACAATGGGACATGTATTCAATTCAGATGAAAGTACTCACATTTCTAGGCGGGCGGCGTCCTCTCTATTTATGGAATGACTGTGTCTCCTAAGATGCCATTTACCATGGCTGCTGTCCTCAAGAACATCGACGTCCGCGGTTCCACAATGGGCTCCCGGAAGGAGTTCAAGGAGATGATTGAGTTCGTGAATGCTAAGAAGATTCGCCCTGTAGTGTCGCGAGTTTTGCAGACTGAGTTAGATGACTTGTCCGCAATTGACGGGCTATTCGAAGACATGAAAAAGGGCACGCAGTTCGGCAAACTGGTGATTGAGTTTGGCAAGTCTTCAGGCAGTAAGCTGTGAACATATTCTTGCTCCGATTCCCATGAATTCAATGATACCTATATGGCTGTCTATACATCTATGATACATATCAATTGAGATACCTTGCAGCAACTACGAGTGTTCTTCGTACCTTCCTCAGCGGCCTCACTTCACACCTCACTACATCCCAACCTCTGTGCATTTTTCAACATATCATCGCCGCTCTTATCTCCCATCATCTCTTAACAGAAATCCAATCGAGTAACCAAATCTCGAATTCGCTCATTGTATAACAAATTCTTCCATTCATTTCCGATTCCACCCCCATCATGAACTCCAAGAGGGACCGCATCTCCGCCCGACAAGTCTCTCGCTCCGTTTCTCGTGGGAATGGCCGTGTGCCTCGTATGTCGGACTCCCGCCGAGTCCTAGAGGATTCGTCGGACGAATGTAGTTTCCAGGTATTGTCACTGTCTGGGAAACATCGAGCCTATGGAACATCCTGTTGATACTGACAGTCAATACAGTCCTTTGACGCCACTCACTATGCCCTGCAAAGTCTCAACAAACACATCGAACGAAGGCTCGCAAAGTTGCAAGCCAATACAGTCCGCCTGAAGCGTGAACTATGGCTGCTCCAGCGACACATCAAAGAATTCCGCCATCCTCTTTTCGAGAACTGGGAAGCCGACATGCTCACCCGTCTTATCGAGGTTGCTCATGCCCATCAGCATAAGAAGCTACCAGGTGGCGTCGTGATCGGAGAGTCCTCGTTTGCCGAACGCGAAAATCTCAATCATGCATACAGCATCGCGGCGAAGGCAATCCGCATGCCGACTCTTCGTAAGCTTGGTCTGTCGGAGAAGTATCATCAGGCTCTGCAGCGATATCCAGAGGTGAGTTGTCACCGTGGTCTTGACCTCACGTACCTTGGTTTAGTCCCGTACTAACATGGATCAGGTTGTGCCTTATCGAAGCCCAAATCCCTTCCAAACCGAGTTCGCATTCGCCAAATGGCTAGTCGAGGTACGGGACGACAGGCTGGAACTGTATGGATTCTGGTCCAAGCTTTTCCCCGTCTGCTATGACCGCACCGTGCAAGAGAGCGCCTCTATCTTCTAGGGGATTCCAGGGATTGGTCTCATCATCGTCTCGTATCGTCACGTTTCTTTTCTTCCGCTGTGGCTGGGGCCAAGCATCCAAAGGGGGTTGTATAGTGGATACAATATTGCTTCGTTGTTTAGAGATCTTCTCTTCCTGGAAGTCTGTGGGTCATTACTCTGTGTTCCGGTCTCGTTCTACGGCGTGCGGTTTCATTGTGTCTCATCTCAGCTCCCCATGTAGGTACCAAGCCTATTATTATCTTTGGCGTGTCAGAATGCAGTGGCTGCTTTTTTGGGTCATATGCTCACGATGCACGGCATGGATTTAAGCGATAACTCTAAGCGATGAACTAGTAGATCATGTTTCGGCTTCCTTTGACGGCCAACAACCTATGTATATACAGCCTAATAATCTAGCAACAGACTACCACCGTTGCATCAAATCCTAAGCCACATACCCACAACTAGGATTCACGGATCACTCTGATCCACAAACCACACAGTCTAAATGTCAAACGGGTTAAGCCCTCTGGTGTGGCTGGCACTTAGTCCCGTCATTCTGGATGGCTGAACGATCCAACGGTCGAACAATAAACACTAAGCAATATGCAATATGCGATATACCCCCACGTCCACGATCTCAAAAACCCTATATCATCCCGCCTGCATGACGCAGCCAATATCGAATTTAGTCATTGTAGCAGTAACACAATAAAGTTTACTCTCGCTAATAATAGCTCTTTTTTACGAAGTACAATATAATAAGCTTGATGCTAATTGCTAAGTGCGAACTAGGGAGTGAGACAGCCCTAAGCGGTGTCCTGCACTCATTCGACGTGTATCCACTGGATTAGATCCCAAAAAAGGCGCAAAAGTTAAAAAAAGAACCCAAGAATAGTAATTTGTCGTACCATAATTCGCCAAAATCAACATATGGAGAACATGATTTGAAAGGGCACAATAGCAGTGCGACCGAAAGAACGTCCACGGATGCATGTCTAATCGTACCTAAGTCGAAAAAAAAAATGCCCTAAAATAAGAAAATCTAAAAAAATCTATCCAAACCACAGCAAGACCCTTCGGAACATAGCCGAGTCAGGTGAGTTGGGTAGACCCTGAAAACCGATCCACGAGGTCAAGTTGCCACTAACAGCGTTGCGCTAGGCCCAACTGTCCTTGTAGGGCGGAAAACAAGGACTTATAGCTAAGATATTTGAAGTAGTATGTTGTACATAATGCACCTCGTACCATAGACGGTTACCAAGATAGATTCACCTTAGCAAAGTGGTTTATAAGCGGAATTAGCGGTAAACTAGGTACCCAGAATGGTTGCTGCCTACCTTGGCAGGATTACCGGAATATGTACATAAAATCCACCTTGGAACTGGAAGAAAAAAAAAAGTGGAAAGCGATGGATAACAGTGCACGTCAAGTCATAACTCATCTGATTAAGGTCGGATCCGATATCCATGATAACCAGATGGAGTAGGGTCCGATATTGGCAAGGAGTGACTGGAGCTATCAGGCGAAATTCGGTGGGACTGCTAAAATGCTGCTAAAGGGGAAAAATTGTCGGAAGGGGATGGGTCCCGAGAGCCCGAGAGTGGGAATTTATTCTGCTCTGATTGGCCTTTCGGTTTCTGTACCCACTTTTCACGGAGATATTTCTAGCGATATACTAGCACTGAGTATATTATAGGGTCAACGTTCCATATAAACGACTTCTTGAAGGTTCTTTTTTTAGCCTTAGGTTAAAGTTTGAGTTGACACATTAAGATAAACGCATGGAAATAAAACGTTTCATAGAATCCACCAGAGGTTTGGTAGAATCGGGGGTTCCATCAACCTGAAACCATACTTTGACTTTGATGGTTTCGATCCGTGACATGATTGGAAGGATCGCGTTGATCGGTGTTTAGTGTCGATTGTTATGGCTTTTGACATGAAAGGGTTTTTGTTACCATGTGGTGATATATATGTTATACATTGGTTTACATATATTGTATGGAGTATATATTTTACCTCTACTATTCATAAGGAACTTTTTTGATTATAAATGACCTCAAACTAAATTTGATATGCTATTATTTACTATTAACACTCAAATAGAATACCACAAATACCAAAAAGCTATGATCCCACCTATCTGATCCCAGATTCCGCCCAAGCTTCTTATCCGAATTGGATCGTCATAGGGATCTGTCTCGCCCCTGACTATATAGCACCCAAAGAGCTCCAACAGCTATACATCATAAGATGCGCGACTGTCTTCAGACTGCTTTAAAAAACCTTACCGTCGAACTTGTTTCACCTAAAGAATATTTGCTACGGGGAAAGACAACGAGAAAAAAAGCAAAACTCAAAGGACACGGGATCTCGCAGCAAATCCACGAGAGCAGCCAAGATATACAATTAGGGCGCCCCAGATACTCCGTAGAGCTGACTATCATACGGAGTACGGAGTAGATGCAGGGAAACATGAAAGCAGTGGAGAATAATCCAAGTCGGTATAAGATCAGCAGTGTTAGAGTTGGGGCGGTTTCTTCCCTGGTCGTGTTGAAGACATTCGACAAAGAATCTATGAAAATGATGAGACAGGCTTCGCAATCCTTTTTCCTCTCTCCACACTGAAACGTACCAGCTCGACATGAGTGGCTTCGATTCAGATGCGGCGGGAAGAAGCATCGCTGATCCCGTATGGAGATATCTATTAGCCAACCCTCTTGTCTGAGCGCAAAATTATGATCGTGACAAATCCCGATATCAAACATGAGCTTCATTCCCCGCTGTCAGTTTTGACCGCCAGTCGATCCGATCATCTTGGTTCTTGGTCATGGTGTTTCATTGTCACGGTATCAAGACTACTACCGGAGAACAGAGGACAGTGCGGGCGAACACGGAGTACGGAGTATCTCTGCCAGCATTAACCATACCCCGAGGCGGAATAGCCCGCCACTGTCAACTATTCGCTCCGTGGCTGAAACCGTTAACCTCTTTTTTCTCCCATAGTCGCTGGAGAAGCTAAGGACCGTAGGGGAAGGCGTCGAACCCTATTAGCGTTCATTCTGCGGAAGCGCGGGCGGTACGGAGTACTCTTCTGCTAACGACTTTTCCTTGAGCAGGGGCCAAGGAAGGTTAAAGCTAGCACCGACGGTCCCCACCGGTGTATAACTCTGTGTCCGTGAGTGGCCAGCAGGGATAGAGCTAACGACAAGGAGTTCACATATTCCGCCATGGAAGGATCATCGACGAATGAGGCTGCTCAGTGGATGATGATCTTTGCAGGGGCGAAAAACAAGAAAAGGGCGTCGAAGACATGCAGTTGATTCTGGGTCGTGATTTGCGATGTTTGATCAGCCATTTTCATGGATAGAGGGTGACATCTGATGCCATCCTACCCTCCAGCTTCAAGGGTACGATATATGACCCCAACAGCGAAACCTAGATCATTTCTGTTCACTCAGAGTAAAGATACCCGACACCGATCTTCCTCTTATCCAGAACAGACATAGATGTAAGTATAGCCGAACAGTCCCAAGACCCAAAGCGGGTCCATCTCACATTCCTCCGAACTATGGTGCAGACAAAACCCTCATGTGGACAAGAATAAGCCAGTGATCTTCCACAATCGAGACAGGGTAAAAAAAATCGAGGATCGTTACCGTTTGTCTCCCCCTTCACGAACAGAACCAGGAGCCGTCCAAAATGTAAGGGTGGTGAACCAGGGCAAAAAGATAGAGAGCCGTCAGTGTCTCTGACGATGTTTCACTCCTGAGGGGTCTTGTTTCCCCATGATCCGCGCCCTAATCCCATCCCACTATGCAGCAAGGTCTTTGCTCTGCCCTGACATCTTCTCCTTTTCTCCCTCGAAGGGATTGAGGAAAATCCCTACCCAATAATCCATTAATCTTCCTCAACCCGTGCTCGATATGCACT